TCCCCCCCCCTTCTACACATGACTCACCCTCCTCTCACACAGACCTCTAGATCAACAGGTCGCTTTGTCTCCCTGCAGAAAAATTCCATCAAAACCTCCAAGTACAACTTTTTCACCTTCCTGCCTCTCAACTTATTTGAGCAGTTCCGGCGGATTGCAAACGCCTACTTCCTTTTCCTGCTCATCCTGCAGGTAGGTTTCTGCCTGCCCGTTGTCGTGGGCAGAGCCTTGCTCAGAGCAGGCAGGCAAGCAGGCTTCGGGGGTCCCTTGTGCTGTCTCCCCCCTCCCACCCTACCCCTGGGCTGGCATCTGGTCCCCCCAAGTGACAGGAGCAGCAGAACCCCTCCAGGTGGGTAATCTGCTGTCCCTGGGGCTTTGCCACCTCCTGACAAACAAAAGCATCCCGGGGGGGGGCTGGAATGCCCTTGAGGGTCTGAGTGTGGCAGGGACTCAGTTTCCCTCAGGGGCCATGCAGCGGCAGGCCCAGGCCTCGGTTCCAGCTGCTCCCCTGTGAGATCTGCCCCCTGATGGGGATGGCCCTGAGCCCTGGCGCCTGCTTCTGATGTACAGCAGGGATGGGCAAGCAACATGTAGCCCGCTGGCTGCTGCCTGGCTGGCTGTGTTTTCACCCGCCCTGGCCAGCGCAGCCCATAGAGAGGGAGGAAGGAAGGCTTCCTGCCATTGCAAGCCATGTGGGGTGGGAAGGGGGGTGTCCTTGCCACGCGCACGGAGAAGGAGGCCTTGGGCAAAGCCTGCTTGAGCGTCCCAGGTGGCAGGAGACCTTCCTAACCTCTTGCCGCTCTGGCGCTGTGCCCGTGTAGCTGGACCAGGTGGGAGGTGAGGAGAGCCGGAGAGCAGCCGGACAGGTCAGCCTGGCAGCCCCTGTGCCCTGTGCTCCTGCTGGGGGAGGGAGGAGGGACCCCCCTGCCTCTCTCTCTCTCTCTCTCTCTCTCTTTCTCAACTAGTGTCTGCCTTTCTCGCCCCTCCTTGCAGCTCATCCCTGCCATTTCCTCCCTCTCCTGGTTCACCACCGTGGTCCCTCTGATCCTGGTGCTGGCCGTGTCTGCAGCAAAGGATGCCATCGATGATGTGGTGAGGAACAACTGCTCCCTCCACCTGCTGGGGCTTCCCTCCCGAGCTTGCCCGCGGAGGAAGGACGGCCGACCAAAGCCAGGCTCCCCTTGAGACCGGCCGCTCAGGCTCCCTGGTGGAGAATCTCCTCAGCCTTTGGGTGGCCCCACGAGCGGGGCCCCAGGCTGAGGGGCTCTGCCGGAGAGAAGAGGCCGCGGGCACTGCCTGGAGTGAGGGTGAGGGTGAGGATGGGCTGTACAGAGGGAATTCTGTGCCCCTTGAGTGACCTCCTGGACTCTGTGTTTGTCAGAATCGGCATAAGAACGACAACCAAGTGAACAACCGTCCGGTCAAAGTGCTGGTCAATGGCAGGTGAGCAACGTTTTCTTCCTTTGCTGAATTTGGGTCTCTTGGCTGGCGTTCTGGAGAGCAAAAGCGAAAAGGCCGAGTATCCATGGCAGAGCACCGTATGCGATGCCCAAGAGAAAGTGGGGCCCAGGATCCAGCTGAAAGTGTGCTTGAGTCCTGGCTTCGATCCCACTTGCTCTGGTCTCCTGCCCCCCCCACGCCCTGGGCTTCCTCCAAGAGCCTGGTTTCTGCCCACCTGCCAGAGAGGCCAAAGCCGGCGAGGGGGGGGGCGAGCCCCCGTCCACGCAGGATGCTGCCAGCCCTCTTGCATGCAGGGAGGGAGTTTCCCTCTCAACAGAGCCGTGTCTTGCCCCGGGCAGCCCCGCGGGGCTGCGTGAAGTTTTCTGCAGCGGAGCGTTCCCTCAGGGGAGAGGGTTCCACTAACCTTTCCCAGGCAGAGGAAGCCAAGGCCGTGGCGGTGGCAGAGTGTGGCTGCGTGGCTGCCAGGCGAGTCGGGGTCACACAGCTCCCTGCAAGTGTGGAGGAAGAGAGCCTGGGCGGACCCTGGGCATCGCTCCCATCGGCTGGTACGCCTGTCAGCTCAGGCCAGCAGGAGACGTCGTGCCAGACCCATATCTAGAAAGGGGCAGCCCCCCCCCATTTTGGCAGGATCTGATTGTTAAAGCACAACCAATTCCCTGGCTTTGTTTCACCAAGAGAACCAACCGTGTGCTGGGAAGCCTCCCTGCGCCCTCGGCCGGCTCCCCCGCTTCCAGCACTCCTTGTTACGAGAGGGTCTGTCTGTTTCGGAGAGGAAAGGAAAGAGAGGCAAGCCCAGAGGCTGCTCTCCCCACCACAGAGACACGGTGGGACACGCTCTGCCCCTGCCACGTGAAGCCAGGGATCCCAACACGGGGTTTGTAGGACAGAAAAAAAGAGGAGGACAGGAAGGACTGGAGGACAGGATGCTGACACCCATAGCTGACCTCTGAAATGTAAACACAGGCTTCCTTTGCTGGTCTCATTGCACCTCCCCGTTTCCCACAAAAGGTGGGAGGCTTCTGGGGTTAAACGTTCAAGCACCTCAAGAGCCAAAGCAGCCATTTTCTTAAACTGTTTGACTCAGCCCAGAGCTTGGGCGTCACAGACCTGACGCAGGCCGGGGGGCATTTGCGGAGCCCGATAGCCCACCACCTGGAAGGGGACTCGGGAAGAGCAAGCCTCGCTCACGGCCCCGCCGTGAGTTTCACAGAGTCTCAGAACCCCAAGCAGAGGATGCTAGTCACCGCTGGCCTCCCTCGCTCTGAGCGTTGCAGGTTCAGCCACTCGCTCTGCCCGGGTTGAGGAACCGCTGTGGGAAAATAGCCAGGGAACTACTGCTGGGAGCCTGTCCAAGCAGCAGTTGTAGAAGAGAGCTCTCTGATAAAAAAAGACACTACAGACTTTATTTAGTTATTATTCATGTCACCGGTGAAGATGTCTGCTTCTTCTTCACCCCAGACGTATTTATTAAGTAAGCAAAATTTGCATAAGATCAGGCATCGAGCGATTCCACGCCTGCGCACAGAGAATCACAGAACAATGCATCTTTATACTACAATAGCATGATTATGCTAAACAACACTGGTGTATCCCTTAATAGCTACAAGATGGAGCTCTAGACTAAAAACTTCCCACAAACCACAACCCTGCAAGGAGAGGCACGGAAGTCCAGGGTGGCCCTAAAGAGCGTGCCGGCATTTCCCAGTCGAAGGCTGCTGAATTTAGAACCACGCCTCACGAGAAGCTCATTTTCAAGCCCCTTTGGCCAAGCAAGAAACACACCAGGCTGGGGACTTTTATATTTTATTAAAGAGAAAAAGAACAAAATAGATTAGGGAAGAGGGAAAAAAAATACTTTGGGACCTAAAAGCCAGTTCAAGTGAGACACAGTAGCTACAAGGATCACTACTAGCACAACCATTAACATTGCATGAAATAGCAAGATTTCTGAATCCATGCAGAGATCTTACCCACAACCTCGCAGGGCTGATTTCTCAAGTAAAGATCTCTCCCAAGGTGGAACTCGCTACTCGGGGAATACGAGGCGGGCTTGATCTTCACGTGGGACGGGCCTCTCAGCCCATCCTCTTAGACCGATCAGCTTCCCGGTTCTACGAGCAGACCTCCCAGAAACATGGGGGTGGTCGCGTCCTCTTCTCCCCAGGAGTAACCAGAGCGATCCACCGCTTGGCCTTGAGATGGATGGTCGAGCCTTGAATACTCCATCTTCTCTCTAACTGCCCAGATGGTTCCATGTCTGTCTTTGCCCTGAGGACGATGCCAGTGCCGCGCTAAGAGGCACCGAGAACTAAAACCGACAGCCTGCCTTCTCAGGCTCTATAAAGGGCCGTCGGCTGTGGCAGCCCAGGTGATGTGGAGAGCAGTCTCCGGGATTGCTCTCTTCTGGACTTCACTTCCCAGAATCTTGCAGGCTATGCGGACCAGTGGGATTCCTGGCTGGGAGATTCTAGGAGCTATTCCACACCCACTCCCTCCCCCACCAAAAATCATTTCCCCAAACTCTGGTAGGACCTGAAGCAACTGATTCTAACTGAGGAGGGGTCTCAATATGAGGAAAAAAGTCCTGGCGGAAAAGTCTGTTCGGTTGGGGAATGGGCCCCCCCGGAAGTTGGTGGAGGCTCCCTCACAGCTGGTTTTTGATCGGAGGCTGGAGGGCTACCTAACAGAGATGCGGTAGCAGGGAATTCCTTGCCTCAGCAGAAGGTAGACTGTTGGACCTTTCAGGTCCTCGGCTGGTCTGTGGTTCTCTGGGAATGCAACCATAACGTGCAGCAGCATTAAATCTAAGCATTCACAAATTCAAAACCCTCGCCAGACGTAGACTCAGCCCGCCTAGAAGCCATTTCAAGATCCCTACGGATCTGTCCTTGTAGTTGCGTCTCAGTCAGTCTGTTATCCATCCTCCTTCCCGTCCCACCCATAAACACCATTGCTTATTTATTTATTTACTTATTTCCTGCACTTCCATGGCACCTTTCTCTCCCAGACGTGGGACTCAAGGTGGCTCACAGATCATTAAAAGAGCTAGCGATTAAAACGACATATAAGGGGCACTGACAAATTATTGAACATGGAAATTAAAATAATTATATAAAACAGATTAAAAAGTATAAAAGCGTCAAGAAGCACATTAAAAGGGATATAATGGCAGCAAGCACAATGCTTCTAGCGGTATTAAAATTAGATATTAAATATTAAAATTCTGTCTAAGCAAAAATGTCTTCGTTTGCCTCCTTAGAGAAACTCTTATCTGTTCCACCAGTTTGTGCGCCTCCCTTCTTTGAAACTAAAAATCAAGGGGCTCTAGAGAGGGAAGAGCCTCAGAATGCATTGAACCTAGGAAAGTACATTTCCGAAACCCCCAAACCATTCCCAGGGCGGCAGAAGGCGACAGAAAACTATCAGTTGAAAAAAGAAAAGAAAAGGAGGAAGGGTGGTTTCTGCCTTTTCTGGCCCTCCTGCCCACCTTGGTGGTCGCATCCTGGCCCAGTGCATGTTTTTTTCTCTTCCAGTTTGAAGGAGGACCGGTGGCTGAACGTCGAAGTTGGGGACATCATAAAGTTGGAGAACAACAACTTTGTGACGGTGAGCGATGGTTGCCACGCTCGGCTCACGGGTGGCCCGGCTGCTTTGGAGGGTCGCTGGCAGCCGCCCTTCAGCTGGCTCCCCTCAAGGGGGGGGTGCCCCTCACCTGGCCCCGCCCAGGGGATCACGCCGGGAGGACCAAACCTTTTGCCGGCCGGCTCCACCTGGACAAAAGAATGGCCGAAAACCATGGAGGTGTCTCAAGGGGGCTTGAAATAAAAGAGGGTGAAAAGCGGCCAAACGTTTCAAAAACAACAGCAGCGGAGTCTGGGGCCTCCTCAGTCCCAAGCGCATCCGGCAGCATTGGGTGCAAAAGGCCTCGCTGAAGGGATGCTCTCCATCCCCTCCCCCTCTCCCCCCACCACCCTCGAGATTGCCAGACTCGTCCGTGTCTTTGCGATTCTGGCTTTACTAAATATAAGCCGTAGTTGAAGCGAAGATGAAACAACAAACTGTAGTGAGATAAAATCTGAGGCACGTGCTGTACTCCTGATTTGCCCCTTGCAGCCCCGTGGTATTTATTTAAAATATATTTTATCCCGTTTTGGTCCTTAAAAAGGACCCAAGGACACTTCCGTCATTAGAAGACAATATTTAAAGCTAAGAAGAGTATGAATCAAAGGATCAAGTAAATGCCCCACAACGAAAACACATTTAAAAGTGACAAGGCTTGAAAAACCTCTGTCAGGCATCCAGTCACTAAGAAAAAAGCCTTCTTTGCCTGCTTGCAGAAGGATAGCAGAATGGGGCCCAGCTGGCCTCCAGTGGGAGGGAGTTCCAGAGTCTGGGAGCAGCCACGGAGAAGGCCCTTCTCTCTCCCGTGTCCTCTCCACTGGATCCACTTGGGAAGGTGGTAGGATCCAGAGAACGTCCTCTCCTGATGACGTTCACCTGCAAGCAGGCTCATAAAGGGAGATGCGGACCGTCAGGTAGCTTGGACCCAAGCCCTTTAGGGCTTTGTAGGTTAGAACCAACACTTCAGATTGTGTCAGGAAACAGATCAGCAGCCAGTGGAGCTGCTGTAAACGGGGTGGGTGTCTGTGTGATCCCTGTGAGCAGCTGCCATGTTTTGGGCCCTCAGAAATTTCCAAACCCTTTCCAGAGGCAGCCCCACGTGGAGGGTCTTACAGTAATCCAGCCGGGATGTAGCGAAGGCTGGTGTGAGGGCAAAGGAGGACACTGTATTGGCACGGGGGCCCAGCTGGGCCGTGGCAGGCCACGTCTTCCTGTGTCCGCCGTGGTCCTGCCTCTTTTGCTCTGCTCTGCTCTGCTCCGCCGGCTGCTTGTCGCTGGTGCCACCCTCCGTGTCTCTTGGTGTTTCCCACCCAGGCTGACTTGCTGTTGCTGTCGAGCAGTGAGCCCCACAGCCTGACGTACATTGAGACGGTGGAGCTGGACGGGTGAGTGTCCGGGAGGGGGGGGGCTTTCTGGAGCCCCTGCGGACGGGACAGCCGGCAGCCATGGCTCTATGGGCAGCAGCTTAGGGTGGGAATCCGTGGCCTGCGCCCGCTTGCTGGACATGGTTTCTCCCCGTGGCGTAGTGGCTCCAGGGCGTCTCAGGTCGAAGGCCTGGGACTTTCCGTTTAGCAGGACCATCAGGTTCCCCTGGCAATTCACGTGGCAACGATCGGGATGTACCTGGGTGGAGGGGGACGGGGGGGGAAGCAGGGTTCTCCAGTGAGGGCTGTGCTAATTAGCGAGTCGTCACGTTGCTTCTCCTCTAATTTGTCAATTCAGAGAAACCAACCTGAAAGTGAAGCAGGCACTGACGGTCACCTCGGAGTTGGGAGACGACCTGCAAGCTCTGAGCAGCTTTGACGGTGAGTGCGGGGAGGGAGGCTGACCTCGGCAGGACTGGCCAGAGACCCTCTCCACGCGCCCTCTCCAGCTGCCTGCCCGCCAGCAGGACTGGGGGTTGCCACCCTTGGTCCAGAAGGGAAGCCTGGTGTGTATTGGGTGTGTGTGTGTATGTCAGGAGCAGGCCATTGGAGGGTGTGTGTGTGTGTGTGTGTGGGCTTCTCCCACTAAGAGTTCGCACAGGAGAGCCCTGCCTGAGGCCCTCCTGGCATCACATCCACACTTCCCTCCTGCTGCTTGCCAGGAAGAAGGCGTGAAGGTTTGTGGGTGGGTGTAGAATCCAGACATGGATGATCGTGGGGGAAGCGTGGGTCCTGGCCATGAGGAGGGGGCTGCTCCTCCTGCAGACGGCTGAGCCCGGGGAGGCAGAAGCCCCCCCCCAGACAGACATCCCTCGGGCCCCACAGGAAGAGCCAGCGGTCACTTGGTCCCTTATTACATATCCCAAGCAAGATTCCCTCTCAGGCGTGTGGTTGTGCGAGGGCACACGACTCTGCCCCCTCCAGGCCGCTTTCCTCCTCCTCCGCACACCCGCAGTGAGTGTTTCCAGCCTCTGTGGTGCCAATTGCACCAGAACCCCGCACGGGGGTGGGTGGAGCTGCACGAGAGAGGGGCAGAGCCCTGTCCAACGGGACTGAAAATTCAAGGGATCGTTGGTCCCAAGCCCTTGCAAGGAAGCCCTCTGGGCCAGTGGCTGTCACCCCACCATGTGGCAGGGAGTTCCAGAGATCAAGAGCTATTAAGACCCGTCCTGCACCTTTTGCCAGGTGCAGCTGCTGGGATTTGGCTGCATTTGCTCAGTGCAAGAATTGCTTTCTCTCGCTTACTCGCTCGCTCGCTCACTGTCTTTCTCTCTAAGCCTCCGGTGGGCTCCAGGGACAGGGTGTCGGTTTCTCTCCTTCTGCAGCCGGGCCGAGGGGAGGTGCCAAGTTGAATGAGGCTGCCGTGGGCGTCCCTTCCAGCTGCCCCGCTCCCCCTCCCCCTGCTCTCCGGAGGAACCCGTCCTTTTGGCATACATTGGCAGGAAGAAAATCCTTGCCCTTCGCAAGCAAGGGGCCCTTTTGTGGTTCCCTGTGGAACTGTGGGAGCATTTCTTTTCTGATGTGTTTTGGGTAGCTTCCTGGCAGCGTTCCTCCCTGACCCCTGGGCTGTCTCGGCCAGTGTTGCACATTGAAATTAGACTTGGTAGAGGCAAGGATTTCTCGGCCCTCTAAAAAACAAGCCGTGGGGTGCAGCCACTGGGAAGGGCTGGCTGGGCTCGGGAGCTGTAAGAAGGGATGCTCCCCCCCACACATACCGCCCCTGCCTCGTGCCTTTCAGGGAAGCTGAGAGGAAGCCATGCTCCGGTTTGGCTTCCTTTGTGGCGGCGACGGCGGCGGCTTTTAGCCTTTTAAGGCAAGGCGGCCGCGGGAAGCGACTGACCTTGAAGCTCAGATGGGAAGGATGGACGGGTTCCCTGACCGGAGGTGGGCCTGGCTTGGTGCAGGATGGTGGCCGCCAGGGTGGGCTGGGAAGGATCTCCTGGGTGGGTGGGTGGACGAGTGGGCGGTTGAGC